AAAAATCGAAAAATCGAAAAATCGAAAAATCGAAAAATCGAAAAATCAAAAAATCGAAGAATCGAAAAATTGAAAAGTTGAAAAATTGAAGAGTTGAAAAACTGAAGTAGTTAACACTGAAAGTGTCAACAAGTTTGATTTTGCAGTGACAATTACAAATAACAATGTTGATCATAACAGGAATTCCTTCGCCTAAGCTTCATTGATATAAATGCAGAAATATTTATATATAGCATACATCCAATACCGATGACTTGCTGTTGCTTATTGTAATAGCACGCTACTTGTCAAGTTCTTCACTCTCATTTGCACAATTCTACAAATCTAATCGATACAGTGATTACTATGCTAACAAACGTTATACCAGCACACGTGTTATTAGAATACTGCATAAAATAAACATATCAGTTTGAATATTAACTATGTGCTCTGAATAATATCTATAATTGACGCAAAGAAAAGCATATTAATATAGAATAAAATGAAAACGAATCTGGATCATTTTCATTTGAGATGATTGTAGCTGCAAAAACTTTCCGAAGGAGATCGATTAATGGAAACATTTGAGTAATAATTAACGTATGATTACTTTCCTAGTAAGACGTTGCAGTTAATAGTTGAATCATGACACGTACTCGCATATGAAATTCCATTTGCTGATTCATAATGATTATTTGTGGGGATATTGTTGCTGACAGAATTAATCCTTTGTTAAGTGATTTAATCAGCTTTGATGTATTTTTGAATAATAATGAACAATAATGCACAGTAAATATTTTTTTATAAGACTGATGTAATTTGCAAATTACATGTTTTTGATGGGTTCAAGAAGTTTTGTAATCATAAGAAATAATAAATGTTTTTATTAATTAAATTTGCAATTCATTTAGGTTTCAGAAAGTAAAAAATATTGATATTGGATTATTTTATGTAGCATGTTTGCAATATTGTGCAATGAGGGGTTTTTTATTAATAACTCACTATTTGAAAGTTTTAAATTTCTACATTTGAAAATTTAAAATTTTTCAATTTAATAATTTATAATTTTTATACTATAAAATTTAACAATTTTAAATTTGTAGTTGTACTAGTAAAATGTTTGTATATTTCCAAAGTTAGCAAATTAGAATTTTTATTCTTCAAAATTTAACAACTGTTATTAATTTAACAGAGTATTTAATTTAACAACTCTGTATGTTGGAAACTAATACATTTTCAAATTTATAATTTTTGTACTTTGAAATGTAAAAATTTCTCTCTGGTTATTTATTACCTCAATAAATATCCAAATGCCCTTTTATTGAATTGAGTAGCCATAAGTAAAATTAATACTAATCTCTACTAGTCTCTATCAAATTAATTAAACTTACATCAAGTTAATTCTGATAACAGTCCCCGTCAAATTGATTAACCTTCTATCAAATTAATTCTACCAACAAGTAAACCGTCCTTTCAAATGTCGCGCCATATTACCCCTCAACATGACGAAACTAAATACACATTCAACGCTGATAATTCTGGTAATACAAATTTTGTAGGTCATCATTTTCATACAATTGAAAACATTCGAAAGGCCATGACCGATCAAGTGAACGCTCTATGGATAAAGACGCTACCAACATGTATCAAGGAGTGGAAAAAGACATCTCTATCGGTATATTGTTTCCCAAGAGAACTACATACTTCAAAGACGATCACTTCGGTTCACTTCTGATGCCTTTCGTTACTGAAGGTGACTATGCGTATACAACTATACGACTACAGTATAGTAGGTCTACGGACCTGGTGTCTCACGCGAATTCTAATATGTATTTAAAATTTGAAGAACCTACTGTATGTAGGTGCAACAAGAATTAAATGTAGAGATTTTAAAGTTCAATCGATTAAACGTGTCTGAAACTATCGAAAACGATACCGAAGATTATTGTTGATTTCATGGGGAGTGACGTCAATGAGGACCAAGTAGTGTCGTTAACGATGAGTTATGGAGCTTTTAACGTGGTACCAGACGGTTCTATGTTTCAAAAATTATGGAAACGATACCAAAACATGGTTTTTTATCGATTCGACGACGATCGACGATGACGTTCCTGTCGTCAGATCGCCGCCAAAACCTATACATCAAATTTAAGGTGTCTCATGAGACTACTCTTGAAATTTCAAGTGAAAAGACACAAAATTGAGACAAACTTACAGACAAACAAACGAATAAATGCAGATCGAGTCGTCCCAGGAGTCTTATTATGTCTGGCGGAGGTTTATGAATGTGAACATATTCTTCTTTTTACCATATTGTAGGAGACAGAGAGACAAATTTAAAATACAAAACATAATACATGGTGCTCGGTAACACCCGGTATATGTGACTATACTCATTCAACGTCTGACATTCACTAGAGTAAAAGAGGGTAATGGCGGTCACTTAGGCAATAACTGTAAGTGAACTGAAGTACGAAGTCAAATACTGTAATTTACCATTTAAAAACTTCATTATGAAAATTAAGGATTTGGAAGTTTGGAAATTTAGAGATTTGTAAATTAAAGAAATTGAGAATTTCAAAATTTAATCACTTGGGAAGTCAATGATTTTAGAGTTCGGAAAATGAAGAAATCTCAGTGTGAAAATTTGTATGTTTAAAAATTCGAAAACTTGAAAATATGGAACTCTGAGAAATTCAGAAATTGAAAAATTGGTGATTTAAGAATTTAACTTTTATACTGTGAGAATTTGCAAACTTTAATATTGTAAGAATGTGAAAATTCAAGAATTCACTACAAAAATATAATATCATAATATAAATATTTAACAATCAGAAAGTTTGCAAAGTCAGAAATATGAAAATTTGCAAAACGAAATTAGAAAATCCAGGAATTTGCAAACTTGCTTTTGAACATCGGAAAAAATTGATATCTAAATTAGAATATTTCTAAACCTCGAATTTGAAACTTCAAAAATATTTAATTTATTAATATCCACTAGTTTGCACGAATATTATCAATAATTTCCCCAGGGGAAAATATACCACAGAAACATAAAGGTACCTACTCCAGATAGGAAACCTACTTACGTCAATGCTCGTTCTCATCGTGGCGACCACCGCGTTAACAATATTACGACATCTTGCTTGTGACTTTTATCCGAGTAAATCGCAATTAACCATAAATATGCCCATGTAATATCGAGTTAATTTAATCAAAGTGTATACACATAAATAAAGTTTTGACTGGCGTAGCGTATGCAAATGTGAATGCAGAGTTAATGTCGTTTATTAAAAGCAATTAAAAGTTCTGCAAATCCGGTACTACAAGTGCTTACGTAAACCGCATTGCCTGTTTATGCATAAAAAAAGAATAAACGGAAAAATTAATTTTATAATTGGTGATATACAATCTGTTAAGATACGGCTTAAAAGAGCAGCAGTGATCTTTGTAAATATTTAAATGTCACTGTGAATTGAATATCTGTGCTGCAGTACTGTACAAATTATACAAATACTATTTAATAAATTTTAACTTGTTTACTATTTAATCTATTGAACATTTTGACTTATTGCATAAATGTGTTTTACTGTCATGTGATATGTTTCGTTAATCATTTTACCATTTTAAAGCAAGTTTACCATCTTGATTTTATCATCTTGAATTTTTGAACAAGAATTTTAATTTTTCTATTTGCACTAACTTCACATCGTGCAAATATTTTGAAGAACTTTTAAAAGTAATTTTCTAAGAAACAATGACAAACTTGTACAGTTAAAATTTGTACAGCAAAGTTTGACCAAAAATTCGTGTTGAAGTATCAACACGTGTCGATTATTTTCAATGAAAATGTATGATTTCAATTATCGCGTCGATTTATAGACACGCGAGCGGTGCACTCGAATCTTATGTAAGAAACTGCGCGTGGAAAGAAAAAGAACGAAGACGGTCTTCTCGGAATTGATACACGAGAGGTAGACATATATACGTATGGAATCTTAATCACATCCCACTTGAAAAACTGGAGATTTTATCCAGACCGCAAGTCGGTCGTGTCACAAATACGGTTGTATTACGAGCCCTTGCCATTATTGTCATATATCTTTCCTATGCGAACCACGAGAGGTTCCTGCATCGAGAAGAAATCTCTGTGCACGTTTCTCCGATTTCCTTGCCAGATTGTTCGTTCTATTGTAATCGTTTTCTCCGTTATGACTATTCTAGATCGCCACGATACGTTCTAAACTGCGATGGAAATCATGGAAATATCAAGGCTAAAGCTATGAGGATTCGAGGGTTCAGAGTTGGATCTCCAAA